GGGGCTCGGGGCTCAGGAGAGGCGGCTGGGTCCCAGCCAGGCCCCCAGGCCCCGAGCGCTTTGCCTCTAGCCAGGCTGGCCCGTTTGCTCCTCACTTTCGTGTGAGTGTGAGGGACTGTGACCACGGTGAGCGGGGCAGGATGGCCCGGAGGCCAGGACCCCGACCAGCTCGGCCACCCCTCGCCCTGTGGGCTTCTCGCTGCGCCAGGCGCTGCTCTGAGTCCTGGGAGGCGCCTGACCGGAGCAGACGTTCCTGTAGGTGAGGCTGAACTAAACCATTTACAACTTTCTACACATAGACTAGTCCTTGTCTCGGAAGCCGCGGCTTTTGTAATTTTTTATCTTAATTTCACTGTCACCCTTGAATATTGTCTTTTGTATTGAGACGCTGGAGGAGCAGGAGATAGTGGTGCCTCATCTATTATTGCAAAAATGTAACAAATAAACTTCCTCAAAGAAGACGTGTTTCTCCCGCTTACACTGTCCACGCGTGGGGGTTGCTCAGGTGTTTTAACTGCTGTCTGTAGAGATTGTTTCAGATGCTGAGTGACAGCTTTGCGACTGTGGCACTCGCCTGCGTTTCTTGCCTTGTGAGTCAGGTTATTAGCTCCCAGAGCAGGCGCTGATCTGGAAGCAGGGCCCTCAGCGTGGCTGTGACGCCCGCGGGTGAGAGAGCGCAGTGCGGACGGTGTCAGAGAATACCGCTCAGCCCGGCCAGCATGCTCAGGGGTTGAGCATCTACCTGAAAACCAGGAGGTCACGGTTCGATTTCCACTCAGGGCACCTGCCCCAGCTGCAGGCTCAACCCCCAGTGTGGGGCCTGCAGGAGGCAGCCAATTCATGATTCTCTCTCATGGATGTTTCTCCCTCTGAAATCAATAAAAGTACATTTAAAAAAAAAAACACACAAAAAACAACCACTCAGCACTCAAAACCAGCATTAAGTTCAATTTCAGACCCAAAAATTGAGACCAGGGCGCTGATGCTAGTTTGCTTGCGGGCTCACTGTGATGATCACAGTTTCACTCCACGTGCTAAACAGGCCGGCCGCACGGGCGGCTGGCACAGGTGCTGCTGGGAAGGAGGGCCTCCAGGCACAGCTTCCAACGGGCAGGCGT